GTTGAGAACAAGTGTCATGGTGTTATGTTCTTGAGGGTCTGGTGTAGGCTTATGACGTTGAATATACATATACATACTTATGTGTTAAAAAAAAAAAGTGGGTTTGATAGTTGCAGGTTTGGTGGGTTCAACAGCAAGAATGTCCATTTTTTAAACCACAGAGCAAGTATGTATATATAAATGTGTATAAATATGGCAGGAAAATGTTTAGAACCATGGCAAAGGGTTTTTTTTATGGCGGGCTACCAGGGAACATGGATTGGCAGAGATGGGGGGGATTACATTGATTTTAAGTAAAGATGTTGGACAAGCCAATTGTAATAAATCATATTACTACAGAGAAAAGGGATTCAATTATGCAATATATAGAACAGAAATATAATGTACGTTACAACTCATTTTAATACTGTACAACAAAAGGTCTAAAAACCAAACCAAAACATGTTCAATAAAAGTCACCACAAAACGTATGTGTGGATTTAACAGCCCACTGTAGCTGTGAGAAAGACAACCAGAAGACAGCTAAATATACAAAAGAAGATTCATGAAAAGATAATGGAAACAACACTTCACACATCAGCTAGCAGCAGCTGCATGCTAACTCAAGCTTTAGACCCAGGCTCACAGCACAGAGCACAAACAGCTTGCTTTCAGTTGTCGACGCTCAGACGCTTACAGTAAAGATGCAGCTCGGTCTCGTAACCTTCTTTTTCCTCTTCCTCTTCATTGTCCAACTCCTGTGCTAATAGGATATTTCCAGAAAGTTAGCATTCTCCTTTGCTGGAAATAGAAGTCTGTGACTGGAGGAACAGGCATCATTCGCTCTCCCTTGTTCCTTTTAGATAACAAAAGTAATGTGGAGCATAATTAGCTGATTATAAAAAATATATATTGTAGGCCTATATCAACAAAATGATTTGTCACTTGTAGTAAATCCTAACATCCTAACAAACAGATATAGTTTAGTTTGTCCCACACTTTCAATCAGACTTGTTGCCAATAGGAACCCACCAATCAAATCGCAGCTCTCAAAAAAGCAGGGACAGTCAACATCGTCACACCTGCTGTCACTGAGACATATACGGGTCACTGGGTTTTTTTAAAGTTCTAACTTTTTTTTTCAGATTCTGAAATAAAATTTAGAATTGTGGGGGGCAAATCAATGGCCCTAATCCTCTTCCTTAGAGACGCCATTAAATAATACAACATTTCATTTACGCTCATTTATACAGTATATGACCTTTATTTGTACAGGGAAACAATGGTGCACTGTAATAACATTTAAACATAAATACAAAGCAAAAATACAAGACAATGTCAAACAGACAGACAGACAAAACCCATCAGGAAAAACAAGAGCTTTCCTCAGACAACATGTCACTCAATAAAAGTTTAAAGTGCTGTAGAGTTACAAGATTGTCCAGTTTAAGGGAGTCCTGAAGCTTATTCCAGTTATAGGGAGCTTCATATGAGAATGCAGTTTTACATGTAGGAGTATTTAGAACAATGCAGTCATGAGATCGAGATAAGTATTCAATATCCCTAAAATGAATAAGGTATAGTTTATTTAGAACGGCTTTAAAGGAGAGACAATGATGTTCCCTCCTAGTGGAAAGTGATGTCCATCCCACCTTGTCATAAAGAATACAGTGATGCGTCCTAAAACTGTGGCCTGTAATAAACCGTAGTGAGCATATGATATACGCCCCCATAATAAAGTACTGATAAGAAAGTTGCTTGTACAATCTGATATATACAAACATAAGCTAGATCAATTTACCTCAAACGTGTCAAAGTTCAGGAAGTGAATGGGCAATGATCAAAGTAGCCTACTACTCTTACCTGTTAAAAGATATATATTTTAATACGCACAGAAAAAGTTTTATAATGACTTGTGCAATATATATTCAGTGTTACAGGTTGAAGGGAACTATTGTGCAACACATTTCTTCTGATTGCCTTGATTTACTCGCTCTGTTCTAAAGAAGCAGCTCAATGTGTCAAAGAGAACTCAATAAATAATGGATGTCATGAAGCAGCTGTGGAAGCTGCCGGCTTTGAAATCCACTCCCTGGTTGAGTCATACTCCCAGTTCGCTTCCTTCACTTTACTTTGTAACAGACCCTGTGCTCTATTACCATAATCTCCAACACACACACTAATATACACACATATTACTGCAGGCCGGGGCTGTCTGAGCTGGTTGGCTCTGTGAAGGTGCTGAGCTCAGAGCTAGCAGGCAGGTGTTGTGTCCGTTTTAGGGTCTCACGTCTGCATACATCAGCTTCACTTTCATCCACAGTTCTCAACGCTGTACTGCCTGGTTGACACCCACAGGAAAGGAGCAGACAGCAGCACCAGCCAAACGGGAAAACAAACGGCCTCTTTTGGACCAGGCACATGGTAAAAACTAAAACATGTAGAAGTTCTCAAAGACCTCTGAGGTGAACTAGTTTCTTTTGTGGCAGTGAATTGATTTCAGTGAACTCCAATGATGCTATGGAGCAAGCTTTTAGCAGGGATGTCTCAAAAGTCAAAACAAATCATTGTCCAGCACCAACAAATGACAGCAGCTGCCTTTAAATTAAAACACCTCGTTAAAATTGAAGCATACACATTTGTTTTTATGGCCTCATGTGACTACAGATCATATAAATAAGGATGATCTAAATTAAAAAATGATATATTTAATGAATTCAAACTGTAATTCTAAAGATTGTTTTCCCCAGAAAATGTAAATTGCCACAAGAAAGCCCCTCGCATGACATCAGGATAAATCTCCCTCTTCCCTTTGATATTAAGTAATAACACAAGGTAATTACCAAGGTGCATGCTGTAGCATTAGCGTTTGAAAAACCCAGATATTAAAAACACACTTCATTTTCTTACCTTTCAATGTGTATTATATTATTTGTCACCAAAAATGATACGGCAGAATTAGGTTTTATGACAGTAGGACAGTCCTGTGGGATCTTTGATATTGCAAGTTACTTAAATCGAAAAAAAACTGAGCCTGTACAGCTTGTATCTGACATTTCTTAATTTCACAATTTCTGTTGTGAAAGACAAATAAAATCCCTTACATGACATTGGACTGACATTTTTAGATATTGCAGCTATGGATTTAAAAATTTAATTGTTTGAATGTGTTTCTTTACACCAGAGAGACAAAAAAACAGCTGAGAATAGCACTCCTTTAATAGAATATAGTTTTTTCTTCAGCTAATCTAATGTGGATGTTTTTGCTGTCAAACTGGGAAAAATTAACACTTGCTAGAAGCCACTTGTCTTTCAGCTAAGCCCACCGTGTGTTTTCCCTGTCAGATGTGGACATCTCAGACCCTAATTATCTAATTTCTGTATCATACAAATGTTGTTCTGACGCACCACTCACAGGTTTACTTGTTTTAGGCTTCCTAAAAATTCTGTTAAAAAGTCATCACAACATTTTCCCTTTAAAGCAAAGGATTCATTTCCATATGACCATGAAAAGGTTGCAAACCCTCTGCATGCCAATAACAGTGTGAGTATTTTGGCCCCATAACAGCCACACCAAGGTCACACATGGCTTTATTATGGCGGTAGGCAGCAGTTTATTGGCTCTGATGTGTAGATTATTTCCCTTTATACGACAGCTGTTTCTGGATTAGTACCCTTTTTTCAGATTTATTTTTGGTCTTTTATACCTTCATTTGAGAGGACAATAGACAGAGAAGGAAAACAAAAATAGCCTTGAAATTACTCTCTTGAAATCCACGTGATGTTTTGTGTTTGTCCATTTTTACCACTGTCACAGGAGGTGGCGATTCTTTTTTGTACTAAAGTGTGTCTCTCTCCACCTTTAGGGTCAGATGATCAGTGTACGCTTCACACCCCACAGCAGGATAGCAAAACTGTAGGACAGTACAGCTCGGTTATTGTGGTGCCATTCCCTTCTTTTGAATTGTGGAAAATGCAAATTAATGTGTTCCATTCAATACTGAACTGAACTGAACCTCCACTCCCTGAAATGGGGCTTTAGAGATGCTTCCTATAAGTCAGCAGTGTAGCGAGGAGTACAGTTTGCTAAGGGGAGTCTTGTTGTTCCCTCTTGAATTTGAGGGGAGTGGGTTCTACTGTTTCAGACTCCAGGTTTGACAAAATCCCAGTGGACACGTGGGAGGAGTAAGAGGGCCCAGTAGATGTTCTTGTGTTTCAACATGGGCCAAGTGTGGCCATACAAATAGTGTTGGAGCCAAATTAGGTGTTTGTTTTGTGTCATGGTATTTTCCTTGTGGTTGTGTGTGTTGGTCCTCTGCACACTGTGTAGCCTGGGCTGATGCTGTGGTTAAAGCAAGGCTCCAGGTGAGGTGGGACAGGTGATTGAATACTGTGTCAGCTTGTCGGAGTTAAACGCATCCAACACGGACTTGTTTGTTTTATTTATAGACGTAGTGGTTCGTCACATTTTCCTTTATTTGATAAGAAGTTTTTTAAATAAATGGATTGAAATATCCAAATCAAATCATCAATGGACTGTGTTAATTTCTTCGAGCTAAGAACGCGTCCGAAAGCTTCCACATTCATCCCTCAAGTGACTTTTCCAAACAATATTGTGTTTGTTAAAATTGGCCACTACAGTGTTACACTGTTTAGTTAAGCCTGAGTTTTGATTTGCAAGAAAATTAACTCACTGTCCTTGTTGTCAAACTGTTGACTATTTCAACTTAGGAAACTCATCATTATTGACATTTTACCAAAATGTACTCAATATAATAAGCCACGGTAAACTAATTCACAATCAGCAAATAGATTGTCATAAACTGTTTTCAAAGCTAAAACAAACATCACTGATGAGGAAGTGAGGTAACAGGATTCGAAACGACAATTGCGCAATAACTAAACTTAAATTATCATGAGATCCCTCCGCCTAATCGACAGTCAAGTGTTAGCCGCTGCACCTGTCTGTCGCTGCGTGTCCCTCCGCCTCCGCCGGCCGCATCATCATCATCATCATCATCATCATCTCCTCCCGCAAAGCCGCGCGGAGCAGCAGAGTCTCTCCTCCAGCGTCAGCTTTCTGAATGTGACGGCTACTCAGAGCCAGAGGTAGGGATATATCTTATTGATGCTCTCCTCCTAATGTGACTATTTCATATACGACTTCTTGTGAAACCGGCGGGGAAAAAAATGGGAGCCTTTGGAGTGATATTAAGGATTTTACAGTACGCGGGACTTTACGTTCAACTTAACGCAGCGCTCATCGTCGGACACGGCGATGTGGATAATCACATCTCTGGAAACGGTGAGTAGTTTGACTCCTGTTGTCGGTGGAAGTATAGACTATGGCTGGAGGATGATGCTTCTCTTATCTGTATTATCACTCATGAGAGGGAGTGACTGGGTGGGGTTAAGAAGAGGTTGTTGTTCACCTGGTGGTTATTTTGTCTATTTTAAGTTCATTCTTGCTGTTATTAATATGTTTTAGGTCTCGATGTTGTCCGTGTTAAACCAAATATGCATCACTTAAACTTCACAACTATTCCCATTAAAAGTGGTTGAACATGGTGAAGAGGGTGAAGCATTGGGATCGTATTAGTTACAGAAACCACTGTTTACAACTTGTAAAAAAGCTAATCAAGCAAATTTCTTTGTCCACTAATAAAACGATTTAAAGTTAGTTTGAACACAACCTATGTTTAACAAAACACAACAACAGCATGGCTTTCTAAAAGTTGTTTTCAAACTGTCACTGCTGATTAGAATGTCTTGACATTATTTAATTATTTAGCCTAAGTTTTGTGTAAAAACACTGCTTTAACTCTCGGGTTGATTCTATTACCACCTATTTTATAGGTTTATATGGACGTGGTAGCATCAAATGACCACTTATTAGAAAATACATATAATGCTTATCTTCTTGAAGGGATCATGATTGTTATGGTGGTTTCAGGATGAAATTGGATCACCTGTTGGGTTTACCTGTATGAGTAAAGGAAGCTTTAACTCATGTCTCAGTAAGCTTTTAATTAGCTACACTTCTATCCTGAAAAATATAATGTTGAATAGGCCTACATTTTATGTTTAAGGCAAAATAATGTAAAAAAACAAACAAAAAAAACGTTTTCCTTTGACCCAGCTTTGAACACTTATGATCACCAGATTAATTTATGGTGAGAAACTCAATGGATGTTCTGACATGAGATTGAATTCTATAATAGTGAAAGTAAATGAAAAACACATCATGTGAAAAATCACAGCTACTGAAACACCCAATACAGTAGTAAAGTTATTTTGATAAGAACTGATGGGTAACAAAAAGTGGATTTTGAGAACCTACAATAAAGTAAAGTCTCACATTACTAAAGAATGTCTTATTGTGTTTGCAAGACTCACTGGTATTACATAGACCGGTCAGAACTTATCTCTTATGTGTGTGTTTTCTTTACCTGATGTGATGGCTTTCTCAAGTGCACGTTTGTCAGTAAGGTTCAGGATTAAAACAGCTACTAAGGCAACCTTGTTACTGTGTCCTAAGTACTTTGATTTAAACATCGAGTACCCTGTTCTTCAATGTTATTCTTACTTTTGGAAAGGTGCGTTACCAATCTGTTAAATGCTCCTGAAAAAAAAAAAGAATTTTGGGGTTACTTTGCTTCTTTTCTCTCTCTTGCCTTTTCATCCTTCTTTACATTTCTGATGCTTTTGTATGATTACCTAGATCTGCCTTTTTTAAAGCACTTCCTGCTGCAGCTCCACACATATATTTCCTGTTATCTAATTAAAACGTGTGGTAACCAATTTATCACTGTCTCACCAGTTGTCCCTTGATGCTTTTCTGCTTAGCGAGTTAGTTTTAGCTCAATCACTATAAATGAATGCGGCATGCGTGCAGCAGTTCCAAATAGATTGACTGTCTTGGGCAGGTTGGAAAATCAATTAGTAGCATTCCTCCCAAAGGGAGTTAATTAGAATAGGCTATAATCGTTGTGTCTCAGACTGGCCATAAAGAAGAAGAAGAAATGCCTCCGGGTGTGCAGTCCTAACAAGAGTGAAAACTCCTCTGGAAAAAGAACGGCTTAGGTTTTTAAAACGTGACCGAGAAAACAAAACTAAAGCCATCAATTTACTCTGTGTCTTTTGTGGTTAAGAAATACTCTGGATCTTTTTTTTCCTTTTCAATCAGGCCCTCCTCTAAATTGCCCAAGCAGAGGGTAGCTCAGCCTTCATACTGAGCAGAGAGGCTGCTTGTTAGATCCATCCCGAGTCATTTGTTTCACATGAGTGTTTCTATCCAGGGCCTCTACCGGCACCTTGCAACCCCTGACTCCACTTCAGCTGAAGTGAAGATTGAGTCATGTCTGACGCTAAATTATAGCTCTCATATGTGAAGAAAAACAACCAGGTTATATTGATCAGTACTTTCTGTGCATTGAGGGCTTCATACTGTTTGTGCATGTGTGTCCTTGTATGAGGTTTTGATGACCCACACTTGGTTTCAGAATCATTTGCAGGCCCCATGTTTTAGGTGGAGGACATTGTGATGTTAGTGCTCGCTTTAGCAGCACTTTTCCTGTTATCCCCGCTCTCACAGTGAGGGGGCGTGTACCGATTCATTAGGCCTCCAAAGTGTCTGGGATCCTCTGCCAGAACTCTGCTTGGTGTCCTCTTAATGAGGACGTCCAGCCCCAACACTTAGCATTGGCTTTTAATTTAATGGAGGCTCTGACTGTGTGTGCGTGTGTGTGCGGCTGTGCGTGTGTGTGTGTGTGTGAGGCAGGAAACAGATTGTACAGTCATGCTGTCACAGTGCAGGCTGCTGGCAGAGGCTCAGCAGGAGAGAGGAGGACAGTTAAACAAGGTGTAGAGGATACCGGAAAAGAGTAAATGAAGAAGTACATTTCAACCTGAAGGGACAGCTGACTGTTCCAGTGATGTTGTCATCTAATGACACTTGTCATGGCCTGTCCTGAATTAAATACTTCCCTGTTATATGCTATGAAATCATTGTGAATGTAAAAACTGTTAATTATTCCTATCACTAAGCATCATCTTCTGTGTAAGGTTTATCCAGTTAAGTAGCATAACAGCAATGGCTGCAACCAACATGTTCTCACTCAGTCAAATGAAGGCATTAGCGTATGGTATACCTGTTCCAGTTATAGATTACCATTTAGATTAGTCGCTATCTTTTTATAGAGCTCAAGTTTAGATTTATCCAGAACTTTTTTTGTCTGACCAGCAGTCAGGGGATTGATACATTTACCATTGTAAAGACAAAGAGGAACGTGCGCATTTAGGAAGTTACAACCAGTCAGTATTTTGGACTTCTGTGTAGTAAACAAAAAGGGGAAATAGATAATCAAGTTTTTTTGCCTTTTCATTTGATTTAGGCTCTGGAAGTAACAAGCTCAGGCTTTTGAGATAAGGCAAGATTTGGAGTCTTTGCAGTCAGAGAAAACCAATCGTACAGTCAAGTAGTTCAATAAAATAAAGTCACATAGGAAAGAGCTCAACAAATTCACCAAGCCATAGACATTTTGTGTTGGACATAAACACCTCTGCTTGTAGTTTCATTGACGGTTAATACAGAATAGTGGTGTTATAATTTGATTCCAAAGCAGGAGTTCATCGAAACATTTTAATTTTGATCATAGCGATTAAGAGCAAGGTTTCAAATGTAAATATTTTTGCTCTCCATTACCTTCTACTAATGCTTTTAATGAATGAATGCTTTTTAACAACTTCAGAGAATCCTACTCATCTGCTTACATGACAACTGAAAAGGAATATTCCACAAATTGTCCAGTTTACATGCAGTTTTGCAAACATAGATTAACCACAGCCATGCAAACTGTTTTCTTGTTCATCCGTACACAACTCATTGATGTGAGGTTTTTTTTTTAATCTACAGCTTATTTAAATCTAAATCTATCAAATCAATCCTGGATTTGAAGAATTGTTCCACTCCTGAGTACAGTTCACAGGTGTATGTTGTGGTTAGAGGTTATTTAGACTACATGTTATTTTATCTTCACATTAGAATCTTTAATCTAAGGTGAAACCGAGCTACCAGTTTATATCTTTGCTTTGCTGCAGACTGGACACACCATGTGTTGCAGCTCGGTGTCTGATGTACTCAACTGTGCTTTCTCATAAAACCATACACAGCATCACTTAAAGGTTCTCAAGGGCAACATACTGTAACAGAACATTATGTTGTCTTTCATCCCAGAGGACTCCAGATGGAGTGCACCTCACTTTCTCCAAAATTGCTCTGAGACTTGGTGTGTGTTGTCAACAACACGTGCTACTATATGTTGCCTCATACAGGGAGTAAACAGAGAAATAGCCTCCGAATCTTTGGTCCCATGGGCTATGAAAAATTCACTCTGTGGGCCAGGAGTATCACTGCTCACAGGCAGATAGCTGCCAGCTTGATTACTGGCTCTGTTCTTTTTTCATTATTTTGCCTTCCACCTTGAATTGAGGCTGAAGGTCTCCCAGCATGCAAATATTTCCCTGAGGAGGCTACTGTCTGTTCGCCCCAACGCTGATTCTGAAATAAATACAACTTAACGTGCCGAGTTCTGAGACAAGTTATTTTGTTTATCAGTGTGAATGTGATTTTTTGTCACTTGCATGTAATGTTGATTCATGTTTTGGAAGGTTGACAGCAGTTTTTATATTTGTAACATTTTACATCTACCAAAACAGGCTTTTTTTTGGCACTTCATGTCTTTTTGTTGGTATTGGATGAAAAGAAAAACCCTAAAACATCAAAAATTGATTGCAGATGTAGATGAAAGCTATTTCAGATCAGGATAGATATCTGCAGCAGGTTTGTTTATAACAGGAGTTCCTTGTGTAACTAACCTGTGGGGCTTCCCTCAATATCAAAACCATTCATCAAGTTAGAGAAATACCTTTTCTCTCCGGGATTCTGTTTACATTCACTAGAGGAGGAAGTTACAATGGTTATGTATTCACTGTGTCAGATTCAATGAATCACTTCTGCTCTTCAGTGCCCTCAGGATGCGGCTCAAATGAAGGTACTGAGCTAATGACTCTCACTTTACAAGCAGTCTCTATGAGGAAACTTTTCATGTAAAATATTTTTGTTCTAAACCTGGAAAATATTTTCTAAAATGATTTAGACTACAAGTGCTTCATTTGAAATGCCTCTAGTAGGAGAAACACCTCTCTCTTCTGTGTTCTCATGCTTTCAAATTTACTGTAAGGCTAAACATGATTACATTTCAGACATTATATACCCTTGTATTTCTTTTCATTCTTTGCCCTCTG